CCTGAACTAACAATGCTCATAGGTAATGTAACATATCTATTAGGCATAATTTTAAACACTTCACATATGTGGCTTTAACTGCAAAACAAACATGAATTTAAAAGAAAAGTAATTCATAATCTATGAATTTTGATATGTACATGTTTGTCAGGACTTCCCAAGACATATTGTGGAGTAGACAGATGCACAAAATAGATTTAATAAAAATAAGACATACTTAGTGAATCATCAACACACTTCCTTTATACTTGAAACTCTGACGTAGGGGATATGGTGGTACGTATGCAGGAATCACTGCTGGGCAGCAGCTACAGTTGTACTGGGGACTCAAGAGGCTATAAGTGGCATCGCAGGGGGAGGTAGGGCTTCCTGAAATGGTGCACACCACTTCTTAAATTTCTGCACCGAGCGCAAAGTTTAAAACTGAAAAAGGTATTAAGAATAGTTAGTGTGTGTTGAAACAGTTAGCTTCTAGGCTTGGAAACTTATAAACGGTGTTTTTTTATCTACACAAATGTCAAGTGGGACACGTGAAGCACATGAGAGAAGGTAGATTGTGAGGGGCCGTTCATGAGGATGTCCAGCACCCAGGAAGCTCTGGGAATTCCCTCCAGACCCCTCCCACCCACTTCCCCACTTCTGGTCAGCGTGACAACTAGTAACAAGTCTGCCAAAGACCAACACACCCTCTGAGGGTGTGGAACCACTCTAGGGCCTTGGTAACCTCTCCCTGAAGTCACGGTGCGCCCCCAGGGGAGGGGTCTGCGACCTTGTGTGGGGGTACAATGGAGTGCAGGGCTTGAGGTCATGATTTCCTTCCCCATATTTCTGCATCAAAGTTTCACTTTTTAATTTACTGTATTTTTTAAATCAGATGTTGTAAAAGTGGGTAGTGAATAACAGTTACCTGCCACATGTATTCCCCCCACACCCTCTCCCCAAAGGCATATGCTTTTGGGTGTTCCCTCTGGCATTTTGCGTTCATAATTCTTAATAGTGTGCTTTCCTCACTCTAGGGCTTGATTTTTTAAATTTATAATTGTATACTATATATAACAATTATTCAATTATACATTATATCATTATATATAATGTAAGTTTTATATTAAAATAATTTATAATAATAAATATTATCTGCTAGTTTTCAAATAGGGAATATAAACTTCCATACCACTTATGCAGCCTACATCAAAAGTAAGCTATTTCATGTAATGTTTCAGAATTTACAACTGAGTTTACATCATTTCGTGTGATTTCACAGGAGTTCCGAGGGATGTTAGTGTCACTCTCCTTTGTAGGATGTGACGCTGGAACTCAAGTAAGTGACATACCAAAGATCACTTCATAAAAGAGCAAAGGCAGGTCAGAGCCCGGAGTTTTGCTCTTCATACACGGAACCTTGCTTAAACAGTTAGAGTGTCCGTGGGGCTGTTTTCCTCAGATTCCCTTCTGGCAAAAACTCCTTCAAGGCCACATTGTAGCGGCACCTTCTTGCCCAAAATGTTGCTGACCCTTGCAGGACAGGTCTTTCCTCTGCATGTCCCCAGCCTCCAACACAGGACCCTTGATAACTGATAACTGTCCTCTTGATGCTGTTTGAAGTTGAGTGGCTTCCACTTCCAGTTTCTGTCCCCAGACCCCGTCCGGTCATCCTGCATTAGGAATGTGAAGAGGTCTGGGGCCTGCCGAGCACTGGGGGACACAGACAACCAGGCCAGAACGCATCGCCTGGTCCCAAGCCTCCCGTCTGGTGGATTGGAGCGCGGGAGGGGGGCTCTGAAACGGCCTAGAAGCAGCCATCAGAGGAGGGCGGCTATGGAGATTGAGGTGCCCCCGAAGGATCGGCCAGAGCAGGCTGGGGTACTCATGGGGGACAGACTAGACTCGCCAACTGAAGGAGATCTTGAGAGGGGACGGAGTCAATGAAAGAAGAGGCCAATAAAGGAAAGTTCTTACAGAACAAAATAGAAAATGATTTTGGTGAACAGAAGTGATTTATAAGGCCAACAGGAGAAACGTACATGACTAGGGATGGGAAGTCATAACTTTTTGGTATTTCATGTGAAAAAATATTGAATAGCTTTAATGATAAGCAGTAGTATATCTTTGGCTTTATAGGTAGGTGGTCAAGGAGAAAGAGGGAGGGGAACAATTTAAAGAAGTAACATTCAGCAGTGACACGGTAGGAGAGCAAGATTCAGCTGTGAATTAGTAATGGGTACAGAGTTGAAGGGGTTCATGCAGTTATGAAATCAGGTGCTATTGAGAGGCTGTGAAGAAAAAGGGGACAGCTTTTGTGGGGGGTGAGTAAGGTGACAGCGATGGACAGCCAGTAGAAATGACAGTATACAGCGTCCAGCGTAGAGACGTCAGTGCTGTCCCAAGGTGCTGGACGATCACCTCTTTGCAGACACAAGTGCGAATGGGATCCTGAGCATGTACAGATTCACTGCGGAAATGTGAGTGGCCCAGTTCCCACCCCCTGCCTTTGGCTTTTTGAAGCCCTACACACTTATAATTCAAACCACATTTGTACACATAGAGCATTCCCAGGAGCAACTATAAGACTATTTAATACTTTTATGAATAATTTCTATTTCCTGTCTGGAAATATCATGAAAACCATCCATGGAGTAAATTTAGATTCTGGGCACAGAATCAAAGTTTTCAAATATATTCTCCCATGCTTTGGTGATTGAAATAAACAGGTACTTAACAGGAAAGAAAAACTTTTTCTAAATGCAACAGTGCAGTTCATGAACTGATTCTATGACATTTTCGCCCATAACTACTTTTCTTTTAGGCTTTGTTTCATTATTCGTATCTATTATTTGGGGGAAATACTGATAGACATGAAAAATACAGGACTCCTTTGTTATCTTCATACTTGGCAGTAATGTGTCAGCCAAATACTCTGGTTCAAAGAGAGCTGGCAATTCATGAAGAATACCAGTAATAGACATGATGGAACGACTTCATGCAGGTGCTAGGCCTTGATGCAAACCTGTTCTGATGCTCTGCAAAGAAGTTTTAGTGGGAAAACTAAAGCAATTTGCCTGTGGTCACATGGAACAACTCAATAGATTTGCAGTGCCAGGCACTGTGCTGAGCATTTTATACACCCTGTGAACCTTCAATCTTCATCATAAATATAAGGAGGCACTATTATTTTATGGATGAAGAAACAGAAATTTATGAATAATTCTTTCCCAGAGCTGAACATAAGGCTGTGAGAAGAAATTTACCAATCTGCCTAGTTCTTCTCTTCTAGGGGGTGCCAGCAGTTCTTCCCTGAGACAGACGATGAACATCAAGTTCTACAATGGTGTCAGTGTGAGAATGAATTATTGTAATTTCCAGAAAAAGCAACCTAGATAAACTCTTGTCAGAAAGCCATCATCATCATGATACCAAACGCCTGCCATCCCAAAAAGAAGCCACCCAATTTTCATTAGTGACATTGAATTGTAAAAACTCCGCATACGTGAGTGACCACTTTAGATTCAAAATATGGTCTCAATAAAAGCAACAGCACAGGTAACAATTCCTGTAGCTTCGATACAAAGCATGCATTAAAAGGGTAATTTAACCCAAAAACAAATTCAACATGAATTAAAGTCTTGAATGTGTAACTCCAGGGAGAGGAAATCCCAGGGCAAAATAGTAAGACCTGAAACCATAAAACTCCTGGAAGACAATGTAGGCAGTGGGGTCTTTGACATCAGTTTTAGCAATATTTTTTTGGCCCAGTCGTCTCAGGCAAGGGTGACAAAATGGGATTACATAGAACTGAAAAGCTTTTGCACAATAAAGGAAACCACCAGAAAAACAAAAAGGCAATCTACTGAATGAGAGAATATATTTACAAATAATATGTCTGATAAGGAGTTAATACCCAAAATATAGAAAGAACTTACAGAAGTTACTATTTTTAAAAAATCTATTACAAAATGGGCAGAGGACTTGAATAGACATTTTTCCAAAGAAGACACAGATGGCCAACAGGCACATGACAAGATGCTCCACATTGCTAGTCATCAGGGAAATGCAAATCAAAACCGCAATGAGGCATCACCTCATACCAGTCAGAATGGCCACCATCTAAAAGACAAGAAATAACAAGTATTGGTGAGGATGTGGAGAAAAGGAAGCCCCCCTACACTGTTGGTGGGAAAGCAAATTGGTACAGCCACTGTGGAAAGCAGTATGGAGGTTCCTCAAAAACTAAAAATAAAAATACCATACAATCCAGTAATTCCACTTCTGAGAGGTTACCCAAAGAAAACAAAACACTAATTCAAAAAGGTATATGCACCCCTATATTTATTGCTGAATTATTTACAATTGCCACGATACGGAAGCAACCAAGTGCCCTTCAGTAGATGAATGAATAAAGAAGAAGTGGTACATGTACAGAATGGAATACTGTTCAGCCATAAAAAAGAAATATTGTCATTTCTGACAGCTTGGGTAGAGCTAGAGGGTATTATGCTGAGTGAAATAAGCCAGGTGGAGAAAGACAAGTACCACATGATGTCACTCATTTGTGGAATCTAAAACAAAACAGACTCATTGGAAGGAAAACGGTGGTCACCAGCGGAAGAACGGTTGAGGTGGAGGAAATAGGTGAAGGGGATCTAGAGGTACAAACTTTCAGGTATAAAATAAGTCATGAGGATATTTACATACTTAAATAAATAGGTAATTTACAAGAAAGGCAGACTGAGTCAATTTCAGATGACATAATGGATGTTAGATTAGGCTTTTTTGAATTTTAAATAAAGGGAGTTTCAAGAGAAACCACATTAACTTTTGTGTTTCAAACTTTCTTTTAGAACAGCCAGTTATTCATCTTTAGCTGGCTTCTGAAATTGAACAAATTGACTTACAAACAGTTTTAATAAAGTATCTCTAATCCTGACGGGTTTGTATCTCCATCCACAATGTCTTCATGGTGTCCAAGAGCTAAGGAGTAACTTGGTGTTATGCCCTTTCAGGACCAGCTGGAACGGCTGTTGTCAATGTAATGGGATCAGCGGAGGGCCAAGAGGCTGCTCCTGAACTGCATGTGGAAGGCGCATGGGCAGGCCGACTGCGGATGACTGGCCTCCACTTTATCTGCCGCTGGGTGTCGCGCTGCGAGAGGCAGGCTCGTCTCCAGAAAGGGGGCTCTCTGGGGCTTGTCAGCACCCCTTCACGTTCTCGGTCATTAGTCTGCACAATGATGAAACATAGGTATTTAGTACTTACACACACCAGGCATTAGTACTCTACACCTGCTATTTCGACCTCACAAGAACCCTATGAGATACTGATTCCATCAGGATTCATTACAGAAAACAGGAACCACTCTTAAGTATTTTAAGCAAGGAGGGATTTAATACAGAGAATTGGATGTTCACAAAATTGTTAGGCTGGAAGAGGAGGTTCTAAGCGGGGCCTCCAGAAGTAACTCCCAGCGAAACAGAATTGGCTCACCAGGACGGGAGGTCCCTGAAGCTAGTAAAGTCACGAACACATCCCAGGACAGGAATCCGGTCTTAAGGTGCCGACAACACTGCCCCAGCCGTTGATCCCTGGGAAGCTGGAGAAAGGACTGGACCCGGCTGCAGACGAAACCTCACACCTCCAGGGTTTTGCATGCCAGCAGGAAACGTCCAGTGAGATGCAAGGATGTCATCCTTAAGTCTGCCTTTCAGTATCAAACAAATCCATCTAAATGACAGGACCGAAGTCACACCCAAAGCCCTAGCTGCAAAGGGAGATTTTTACCTTTCAACCTCTGGAAGAGAGGTAGGGCCCAAGAAGGGAGGTGGAACGTGAAGGTGACCCACCTTGTCCATTACGATATTGCCATCCTCATGCCTCTTTCTAACAGACAGGAAACTGAGGCACAGAGAATTGAGTAGATGGCCCAAGGTCGCCCCAGGCAGCCTGCTCTAGGGGCTGTGCTCCTGACCTCCAGTTTGGTTACAGTCCTTTGTACACATAGGCTGGAAGGAAAATCCCAGCAGCACTGGTCACAAAAGTTGGAACTGCGTTCAATGATAAAAAACCCAAAAGATGTCAGTCAGGAAAAAGCCAATGCCACAATGCTGTTTTGGACTCTTCTTGTCTTTATAATACTAAACAAATCCACTTAATCAGGTAAAGCCAGGAAGCTCCTGGATTTTACTTTCTCAGAATCTCTGACGATTGACTCAGGTACTACGAGATGCTGTTGAGATGGTGGTTCAGCCTGGAGGACTGGGGATATCCAGGGATCCAGTCCCAGCTGAGCCCCATTAGTCACTACATTCAAACTCAGATTTCAGAATTCGCTGCTCAAGTGTGAGAAGAAGCCGCTTCCAGGGATGATGAATCAGGTCCCACAGAACAAGAGAAGTATCTTTCATGCCCCAGCCCAGAGCGACTGTGGCAGAGAGCAGTGTTTTCCAAGTCCCTTTACTTTCCTCATGGGCCCCTTGCAGCGAGGCTGAGCCGCATGGCCCCTGGCGGGTGGAAGCTGGGAAGCAGTGATGCTCTTACCTGCAAGCCTGGCCATCCCTTCTGTGGTGACCAGGCTGTGTGTTGACAGTGGTGGCGTCCTAAGACGGGCCTGAGGTCCCCCTGGAGGGCCGCCAGCCACACTGGACTGGGACGTCAGCAAGCAAGACATTTATCAGCCGGAGCCACTGAGGTGTGGGCTGTTTGTACAGCAGTCAGGCTGACTGATACAGTCATCTGGACCTTTTGGTGTAGGTCCTAACCAAAGCAAAGCCGAGTCCAGGAGACCCAGTGTGAGGGCTGAGCAGGCCAGGCTGGAGAGCATGAAAAAGGGCTTTCTCTCTGGATGGCCTGTTTCCTGACATTACACCAATCTCGTCAACATCAGACTCTTTTCCAAAGATCCATTCAGGAGTTGCCATTTCCTTCCCTTCGCTTTGCTTTGCTTCTCACATCCGGGCAGCAAAGCTGGACATGGCGTTGGAGAGAAAAAGAGCTGAAGTGTAGGCAGAGGGAGGTGCTGCCCGGACTTGCTGTGCCCTTCGGCTCCTCTGATAGTTCCCCTCGTGAAAAAGCAGCCCCTTGCATATGCTGAAATTGGTCATTGGGATCGACCTCTTCTACAAGGGTGGGAGCCACATGGTAGGAAAAGAGGGGCCTGTGCTCACTCTTCTGGGGCTCCAGGGGGCCACTGGGACAGGACTGTATGGGCGAGAGTCCCCTTCTGTGAACCAAAAGCATGTGAACAGGCTAAGCCAGACTCACCGCACTGAGAAAAACTGACGCTCTTTAAAAGCACCATGTATATTCAATAGCAAATATGTTCATAGATCGCTTGAAGCTGGTCATTAAACCAAATCCCCTGGGGACATTTTCTACCAGCACCTTGGAAATCAGTCCTTGCTGCTTCATGTAACTGGAAACAATGAAGCGAAGGGCCTGTTACACAGTCTGTGATTTGACACAGGGACTCCCAGTCTCAGGCCTTATCTCCAGGCCCTCGGTGGCCCCAGAGGTGATGACGGGAGTTGGGGCTTTGTTTTCCTTATATCAGAAGCCTTACAAAGTGGGACATTTAACTTAAGGCTGTATGAGCTAGTTAAAATGTCAATTTTCTGTTTTTTCACTGAGATTACATCAGCTTAGTACAATAATCGATTATCTCATGCTATTTGGCCACCCTGAATAACAGTCATTTAATGACTTTGATTGATATAAATGAGTTAGTCACCCAGTAAGACTTTCATGAATAACTTTTTAAGAAATGGGTTCCATGTAGGAAAAATAATTAGCAGTTTAAGAAACTAGCCCAAAATTGGAAACAACCCAAATGTCCATCAACTGATAAATGGGTAAATAAAATATGGTATAGCCATGTAGTGGAATGTTATTCAGCCATAAAAAAGAATGAAAGGATACTATGACAGGATGAATCTCAAAAGAACTTGCTTAGTGAAAGAATCCAGTCACAAAGGGCCACATGTTATGTGATTCCGTTTCTATGAAATGTCCATGAGACACAAATCTGTAGTGTCAGAAAGTAGATTGATTAATAGTTACCAAGGACTGAGAAGGAGGATAAATAGGGAGTGAATATGAATAGATATGAGATTTCTTTTTGGAGTAATGGAATTAGATTGTGGTGATCGCTGTGCAACTCTGTACACTAAAAACTGTTGAATTGTGCACTAAAACAGGTGAATGTTATGGAATGTAAATTATATCTCAGTAAAGCTGTGAAAACTTTTCAGAATCATTTATTGAACCCCATAATTTTCTATTTGACTTACCCAGAATTTGCCTGGATAAATGGAATTTTACAGCCTGGAAGCAGAGCTGCGTTCTGGAGACACCACAGTGAAGCAGGTAACTGCCTCGCCTCCAGAGGGGATGCCGGTTCCCCCGCCCTCTCCCCGCCTACACTGGGTCTCCTCCTGGGCCCTGTTCCCAACTCAAGGCAGGAGGCCAGTGGCCCGAGAGCTGTTGCTGCCGGGGCTCTGTCCCTGGACGGACCCAGGCTTCACCCACCTTCACGTCCACGTAGAAAGCCCTGTGGCTCTTCAACCTCACCAAGGCCAGTCCTGCCCCGGCAGCCTGTCCTGTTCCCTCTGCAGCCAGCTTTACCTGGCACTAGATCTGTACAGATGATGCTTTTTCCTTTTCCCTTGGATGCCAAAGTCATCAACAGGCACAAGACTCTCCTAATTAGAAGTTGCAAGTCAATTGTGAAAGTATCAGAAAATGGGTAAAAGTGTAGAGAAGATAATACAACCACTACCTAGTAACAATTTTTGTTAGCATTTTAGCATGTTTCTTTCTAAGATTATATATATATATTTTTCTTTTTAACCCAGTTGAGGTCATACTGTAAATTCACTTCTGTAGATTATTTCAATCATGTAACTAGTCTCCTTGTCAGCAGAAACTGCTGGAAACCTACAGTCAGAGGCATAAAGCCTTGAAACATTCATATTCTGAACAAAACACTCTCCTAGCTTAATTTTATGTTTTTCTCTTCAGATTTCCTCTGTCCTACTTTTCATGTTCTCTTATTTCTATATTTAATTTTGTTTTATTATATGTTTCTATAAACAGCTCTAAAGACCTTCCAAAATAAATAATTTCCATCATAACCATTTCTTAGTGTACCATCGGAAGTGTTAAGTCTATTCACATTATAATATTGCAAAATTAAAATTCTATCTACACACATTGAATAAAACTCCCATTTCCCACTCCCTGTAGCCCCTGGTAATCACCGTTCTATTTTGTGTTTCTATGAATTTGACTAACTTAGAGGCCTGGCATAAGTAGACTATTGCAGCATTTATTTTTTGTGACTGACTGGTTGCACTTAGCATAATGTCCATAAGGTCCATCTATGTTGTAGCATATTGCAGGATTTACTTCCTCTTTAAATCTGAGTGACAGTCCATTGTAGGCATATACCACATTTTGTTTCTCCATTCATCCATTGATGGACATTTAGGCTGCCTCAACTTATGTGCTATTGTGAATAAAATGCTACAAACATGGATGTTCAAATACGTCTTGGAGACTCTGCTCTCAGTTCTTCTGGATGTATGACTGGATGGGGATTGTTGGGTCATATGGGGAGTCCTATTTTAAAATTTTGAGGAACCACCATACTGTTTTCCACTGTGGCTGCACCGTGATGTGGTCCCTCCAGCAGTGCACAAGGACTCCAGTCTCCCCACCTTCACACCAAACTTGTGTTCTGGGGTTTTGATAGTGGCCATCCTAATGGGTGTGAGGCAATACCTCATTGTGGTCTTGATTTCTCTACTGATTTGTGATGTTAAGCATCTTTTCATGTGCTTGATGGCCATTTGTACATCATTTTTAAAGAAATGACTATCCAAGTCTTTGCCCATTTTTGATCGGATTATTTGAGGGTTTTCCATTGAGCTGTAGGAATTCTTCATGTATTCTGGTCAATAACCCCTTACCAGATATCTGACTTGTAAATAATTTCTCCCATTCTACAGTTTGCCTTTTCGCTCTGGAGATGTGCCCCTTGATGGACAGACTTTTCAAGTTTGATATTCTCCCATTTGTTTTTGCTTTGGTTTCCTGTGCATTTCATGTCATATTTGGTCAAAGCCAATGTTATGAAGATTTTCCCCATATTCCCTTTTAGGAGTTTTATAGTTTAGGGTCTTATGTTTAGGTCTTTAATCCATTTTTAGTTAATTTTTATATATGGTATAAGGTAAGGATTTTACTTCAGTCTTGTGCATGTGGATGTCCAGTATTCCAGGACCATTTGTTGAAAAGACTGTCCTTTTCCCATTGAATGGTCTCTGCATCCTTGTCAAAGATCACTTATTTGATCATATATGGGAGAGTTTATTTTAATGCTATCCATTCTGTTCCACTGGTCTGTACATCTGTCTTTATGCCAGGACCATACTGTTCAGATCACTGTAGCTTTGTGATATGTTTTGAAATCAGGAAGTGCGGGAAGCCCACCTATGTTCTACTTTTTCAAGGCTGTTTTCGCCATTTGGAGTCCCTTGAGAATCCATATAAATTTCAGAATGAATTTTTTTCTATTTCTGCAAAAAAAAGTCATTGGGATTTTGATAGGGATTGCACTGCATCTAAAGATCACTTGGGTAGTAATAACATCTTAATAATAAGTCTTCTAATCCATGAACTCAGGATGCCTTTCCATTTATTTGTGCTGTCTTCAATTTCTTTAGCAGTATTTTATAGTTTTCAGTGTACAAGTCTTTCACTTCCTTGGTTAAGTCTACTCTGAAGTATTGTATTCTTTTTAATGCTATTGTAAATGAAAGTGTTTTCTTAATTCATTTTCAGGTTGTTCATTGCTAGTGTCTAGATGTGTAACTGATTTTTATATGTTGATTTTGTATCCTGAAACTACTGAATTTGTTCCTTAGTTTCAAGTTTTTTTATGGACTCTTTAGGGTTTTCTACATATAAGATCATGTCTTCTGCAAGCAGAGATAATTTTGTTCCTTTTTCTGATTTGGATGCAATAAACAATTTTTAAAATACATAATTTTTTTCCTGTTTCTTTGAGATATAATTGACATATAACATTGTACTCATTTTAAGTGTACCAAATGATTTGATGTATGTATATACTACAAAGTGATTAAACATTCATCACCTCATACACTTACAATTGTTTTTCCTTGTGATGAGAACTTCTAAAATGTAGTCTCTTGGCCACTGTCAGGCATTCACTCCAGGATTCTTCGCTATTGTCACCACACTGTACGTCCCATACCCAGAGCTTATGAGTCTTGTAACTGGAAGTTCGTACCATTTGACCCCCTTTGCCCATTTTCCCCGTGCCCAACCTCTGGCACCCACCAACCTGTTCTCTGTGTCTAGGACGGATTTTTTGAGATTCTACTTATAAGCGAGACAGTATTTACCTTTTTCTGTCTAACTCAGTCCACTGAGCATGATGCCCTCAAGGTCCACCCGTGTTGTTGCACATGGAAAGATATTCAGGGAGTGAGTAACTCCAAAGCCCCTAAGTGTGGACCATTGAATGTTGGATATCTTTTAAAAATGTACATTCCAGTGATAATGGGTTGAGAATAAAAGGAGAAAATTCATATGTATTAAAAACCTATTATATGCCACAAACTTTATGTCTTAGTTTCTGTGGCTACTCTGGCAAATTACTACAAACTGGGTAACTTAAAATAGAAATTTGTTCTCTTACATGAAGGTCAATGCCTGAAATCAAGATGGGCGCACTTGGCGGGGCCGTGTTCCTTGCCGGGTCTGCGGGAAGAACGCGTCCCGTGTCTCCCAGCTCCGGCAGCTGTAGGTCCTCAGGGTGGCCACGTCCCTCCGACCTCTCCTTCCAGTGACCTCCGCCCTCCTCTAAGGTCCCTCTGCTCCGTCTTCAAGGACACTTCAGGGCCTCCCAGGCCAAACCAGGAGGACTTGTCTCCAGATTTTTGACTTAGTTAAATATCCAGAGACCCTTTTTCCAAACAGGTCACATCCCCCACTCTGGGGATTAGGGCGTGCTATCATTTTGGAGGCACTTTTCAGCCCACTACAATTTGCTCCGCAAATCCAGCAATCTTGTGATGGGCGTCATTATGCCTTGCTCACAAGTGAAGAAATGGAAATTGAGGAACAGCAGGTACTAGGCCACAGTGTCCTGGCGCATTCCGGAGCTGAGGTTCACCCCAGAGGCCCTCGATAGACACTGGGGTCTGCCCTGGGGCTGCCCGGTCAGTGGCACCGTCCTGCCTGTGCGAGTCAGCCTCACACTGCAGCGATCACAGGTGGCTGTGCCCCACTGCTCGGGGCCCAAGAGGAGGGGAAGTTCGCTTTGCTAAAGGAGCATTCAGTCCAGTGTAAGAAAAAATGGAGTCCCGCAGTTAAATTCTGTCAGTTTGCAATCAATTCCAAGTAGTTATCAATCTTACCTCCATTTAGATATTCAGGTAATGTTCCCAAAGCGCCTTTTCCATTTTCTTATCCCCTGAGAAAAAGACAGCTTTCTTTAGCTCAGTTCGTTTATTCTCTTCCCATCTGCTGAGTATCTACTGTGATTTAAGGTGTGGCCTCCCTTGAAATCCTTCTTCCCCTACTTTGGACATTTTTACTTTAGAGGAAATATTCGAACTCATAGTCAAAACATTCGAACTCACACAGAGGTGTGAAGACATGCCCGCATCCTCAGCACCTGGGTGATTTTACAACTTAATTTGTTGAATATTAACTTTCTGTTTTACTCTTTTCCTTTCCTTAAATTTAGGAGTTTTAAATAGTGTTAAGATTTTACACAACTACAAAAGGTTAATTCTTAAAAATGTTTTAAATAAACTTCTTGTAAGAATTCAGATTTAGGAGTTGCCTGAAACAGGGCCAAGAGTGCACATTCCCTCAGGGTCACCAGAGCAACTGTAAATAAGGAATTTCATGCTGCTTTTCAAAGAAAGCTCTTCCCTCTACCAAGGAAAAATTTTCGAACAGATACAACGAAGTCTCAGGAGTGATGCATTTCTTAAAGTCAAAGAAGTTGATAGTTTGGAATCACAGCCCCTTTTAGGGAATGGATAGATTTCCTGATAATCATGTGTGTTTAAGGAAATACTATATTTAGTGAACTCACACAAATAACATTCGTTATCACTAATGGGGGAAATTTAGTGGAAATGCAAATATTATAATGACATTAATTTGGCCACATTGGAGAGATTCTGCAGAAAAGACTCCTGTTTAGATGCTTTAAAATGTAAATACTGCCCATCAGGACACGCGGCCTCATTTCACATAATGGGTTGTCTGTAAACAAGTAGGGGAAATTTGAACCAATTCTATGGGGGAATAATTAAAAATAATTAGATAAAAAGCCTCACATATTTTATAAAATCACTTCAAGAAAAGAGAGATGGATTTTGCATTTTTGGACAATGGGGAGCACGCAGCACAGGCCTGGGGTCTGAAGCCCCCAGTGACCGCAAGCCTCCTTCGTTGTGGCACCCGCCAATTCACTTTTAAAGAACAAGAAAGGAAAAAGCACTTACAAAAGTCCGTCTCCAGGGAAGAGACGGCTTGCATCTGAGGACCGGGCCCTCGGCAACCACTGGCGAGCCTGCCAGTTAGCAGAAGGTGTCCAGTGTGCACTGCAAATCCAGGAAGATGCTGCGGTGGGCAGGGTGGGGGCCGAGGGAGGAGACAGCCTTACGGTGAAGCGAGAAGTAGGCAGAAGGACGAATAATGGCCGAGCTCAGTGCGACTTCAAGCACTGGTTTGTAGCTCACATCCCATGAAGGCTGTAGCTGAGAGCGCGGCTGGGCTCTGTGGCTTCCCATTCTGCCGCCAGGTTACTGCAGCGGCCGCTGTTCAGAGCATGCAAGCCGAGGGTCGGAGCCGTACCACACAAAGACATCATTATTTTCTGCCAGGACACAGCGTACTTATCTGCTCATGTTCCACGGGCCAGGCAAGTCCAGGGTCAGTGGGGTGAGGAAAGAGGTAGCATCAAAAGGAAAGATGGTAAGGGTAGAGGGGAATGAGACGTTGTGAGCAAATGAAAGAGTCCGTCACACCTAAGATGCAGAAGACAGCAAAATAACATGAATAAATATACATATGTATACTTTTTAAAGAAAATATTATGATTATGAAGCACTATGCAATTCAAACAGAAAGTTCTTCCAGTCAGTGGTGAACCCAAGTTTGATAGGATCTTAAATATATGCAACTTTTGTGACCCTCTTTAGGAAAAATATGATAAGATACTATTACAAAATTAGGTGCCTGGAAACTTAAGCTAAGTTATGTTCAAGATGAATTTGATTTTGCATTTAGTTTATACCCTGTAAAAAAAAAATCTAATCCTCATCAATAAAATTGCAGCAAAAAGTAAATATATTTCCCACTTCAAAACTTGAATTAGCACAGATCTTTAAAAATAAAATGCTGTAATTTTTAACAGGCAAGTAGTTATTTATACATCTGGACCCAAGAACAAAATGAGACAATCTTCTGTCTTCCTGAGGCCACTCAGGTCACAGACAAAGGGAGATGGGATTCCCTGGAACTCCTTGTCTGAAGGTACCCATTTATTCACATTTTTATATGTTCAAAGAATCCAAATTGGCTGCTGTTGTTAAATATATTATGACCACCTCATGGTGCTGTTGTAATGAGTGTGTGTAATTTTGAAAAAAATATTTGATGATGGTTGACATGTAGATGCAAGATTTTTACTAAGAATTTAACACATTTTTTCGCAGAGAAGTGCTCAGAGAAGGATGCAAGGCTGGTGCAGGGTGCCCGCCCTGCTGGCCTCAGCCACTGCTCCCGGGCGTCTGAACCACAGTCCGGCCATGGACACACTTGTTTGCTTTGAGCCACTAGGTCTGTGGCAGTTTGTCACATGGCAGGAAGATCTTACACACCCAGTGAGGCGGGAAGTGAGTCTCCTGCTGACATGCAGATGGTGGGTGTCCTACTTCCTCGTGCCTGCGGCGCAGGGGAACTGAACTCCCAGAGCCTCAGCACCCAGGTCTCACCTTGAACCCTCACCCCAGTTTCTGGGGTCTCCCAGGTACTTACACAGCTGGCTGCGGCGGCCCACAGGGCACTGTTCCCACCCCAAACATCTCTAGTTTCCTCTTCTGGCTTCCTCAGGTTGTGTTTGTGAAGTGATGTTTCAGGCCACTCTTAGTCTGATGATTCTGCATGAGGGAAAGCGGGAAAACACCTTGGTGGGACGCTGTAGTCACACTGTCCACTGGGATCAAGCTGTCGGCAGCGAGTCAGAGAAGATTTTGGAAGTACATTCATTTTATCCTGGGACAGTGTTTGACGATTTTGTTTGTTCATATTGCTGAAGCAGACAGCATAGTAGAATATTAAGTTCTGTGGTCCCTGAAGTGTGGACCTATTGGAGCTGTTGAACTGCATCCTGATTAACCCATTTAACCTCCTGGTAAAGAGCGAGTGTCAGCATTTCTCTTCTCAGCTGGACGTGCTGCTGTGCAAACAAGTTTCTATCTAGCTCCGAAGGGAATGCCCAGGAAGAAACCGTAAGAGGAACCTTTAATTCAAAACAAATGCAAAAGTGAGTCATTTGGGAAGTTTAAAAAAGATACAGAAAATATGCAAAGGCAGGGAATGAATGGGGTGCTTCCAAAAGTTGGTTCAAACTAGTTTGATGGAAATAGTTACTGACTGGAGGTGAGAGAGTCACAGATAAGCCATTGTGGATGGTTTTCTTTGCACATAAAATAGGCTAGAAAATGGATTCTAGCAGCGAGAGGGTGTGATAAATAAGTGGACTGACTCCGCTGAGGAGGAACAGAAGTCCTGGAAGAAAACCCTGAAGGAATAAAGCCATTTGCCAAATGATGGGCCAGAGCGATGGGCCTTGCATTAATTGATATTATAAAGTTATGATGTAACTTTAATATACTTTCAGACATACTCTTTTTCAACATCAAAGGATTTAATAATGTTGAGAAGAGCATTTAGCATTCTCACAAATCTTAACTTCTGGATTTCAGCAAACAAACAGAATGTGATACTAATGGAGCATTACTATACCCCAAATATTGACTGTTTATAATATATAGTCATTAAAAGGAAGCACCAGTTTACTGACATGATTTAAATATGAGAGATTAGCTGAAGGGAAGGTTTCTTCCCTCCACTATAATCCAAGTAGAAACCACAAGGATATATTCTATATCTCCCCATGAGACACAGCCAAGGGTGACAGAGATCACTGGGCCTGGAGCTGGGACGCCTTCATCCTGTCCCCATTCCTCGGCTTCTGGCCTGACAGCCCAGGGACGCTTCCCAGAGCCTGCTCCCCTCCGGAAAAACAAAAATAATGTCACCTGTTTTGTCTGACTCACAAAGTGAGGTGACAGGATATGCCACAATATGGGTACGCTTTGTAAATCTTAAAGGGTTCTATATATTAGGATCTTTACAGTAGTTTTACATATAAATATATATGTATATATTTAAAGTATATAAATCATTGAAATACCAATTGAGCAAAAATATATGTTGTAATAAGTAATGGTAGAATTTTGACAAAACTTTATCTAATGACACTTTCATGATCTAGTTCTTGGTATCCACCTAGGCTGTGTTTACAGTGATGTCCATCACACATGAATATTTGGAAAATAAATGTTGCCTTTTTTTGCCTAGAGCTACCTTTGTTTCTGAGTTATCATATATTGCTGACAGTAAAAATTATGTCTCTATGAAGGTGCCAGAACAAATGTTAAATTCACTGATTTATTGACCAGCACTTATCATGCGCATAAGCACCAAACAAGGTGCTGTTCAGTAAACTCAGAAAAGTGAGTCTGATGCTTTTTTCCTCCTCTAAACCAACTAGCTCTTGGTCTGAATCAATCAAATCAACCAGGAGGTTTTTGGCTTCCTGTAGACAGAGCTTAAATGTCACTTTCTATCTCAAGCTGCTATTTTGAGAGTTGGTGATGTGTAGGTGAAAAACTCTTTACTATTTAGAAACAGAGTACTATACAGTAAGGCTTATTAGACAGCTATTTTCTCTTTTTCAGTTTTTATTTCATTTAACTTTTTATCATGTAAAGTGTCTGAGCATATGGGATACAGTACAAGGAATCCCCACACACCTATCCAGCTCTGACAGTTAACAATTCACGGTCAATCTTGCTTCACCTGTACCCCGGTTCAACACTCCCCTGTCCCACGTTATACTGGAGAAAACATCTGATGTCATAAAATTTAATCCTTAACTATTTCAATATGGTTATTGCTAAAAGATAAGGATATTGAAAAAATAGCCACAATAGCATTATCACCCCAAACACAATTAACAGTAATTCTTTAATACTATCAAATATTCAGTGTGTGTTCAAATTGCCAACTGTTTTAAAATATTACATTTTTTTGCAGTTTGTTTCTGTCAGTATTGAAATAAGGCCATACAGGGTGATTGGTTGATACATCTCTTAATCCCATTTTAATCTTCAACTCTTTTTTTATCCCCTTGCAATTTATCCATTGAAGAAACTGGGTCATTCATCCTGCAGTCTGTTCCAGAGCCCCCAGCTCTTACAGAGTGCCTCCTGTGGTGTGGTTTAATGTTTTTCAGTAGAACAAAAAGGCATCCTACAGTATGGGAGAATATATTTGTAAATGACATATCCAACAAGGGGTTAACATCCAAAGTATATAAAGAACTCACATGCCTCAACATCCAAAAAACAAATAACCCTATTAAAAAATGGGTGGAGGATATGAACAGAAACTGCTCCGAAGAAGAAATTCAGATGGCCAACAGGCACATGAAAAGATGCTCCACCTCACTAATTATCAGGGAAATGCAAATCAAAACCACAATGAGGTATCACCTCACATCAGTTAGGGTGGCGAGCACAGAAAAGACTAGGAACAACAAATGCTGGAGAGGATGTGGAGAAAGGGGAACCCTCCTGCACTGCTGGTGGGAATGTAAACTAGTTCAACCATTGTGGAAAGCAATATGGAGGTTCCTCAAAAAACTAGAAACAGAAATAGCATTTGACCCAGGAATTCCACTCCTAGGAATTTACCCTCAGGAAACAAGTTCTCAGATTCAAAAAGACATATGCACCCCTATGTTTATCATAGCACTATTCACAATAGCCAAGTAATGGAAGCAACCTAAGTGTCCTTCAGTAGATGAATGGATAAAAATGTGGTACATACACACAATGGAATATTATTCAGCCATAAGAAGAAAACAAATCCTACCATTTGCAACAACATGGATGGAGCTAGAGGATATTATGCTCAGTGAAATAAGCCAGGCGGAGAAAGACAAGTACCAAATGATTTCACTTGTCTGTGGAGAATAAGAACAAAGCAAAAATTGAAGGAACAAAACAGCAGCAGACTCAAAGAACCCAGGAATTGACTAACAGTTACCAAAGGGAAAGGGACTGGGGAGGGTGGATGGGAAGGGATGGATAAGGGGGGGAAAAAGGGCATTACGATTTGCACACATAATGTGGGGGGAGGGCACGGGAAGACAGAGAAGATAAGTAGTGACTCTATAGCATCTTACTATGCTGATGGACAGTGACGATAATGGAGTATGTGGTGGGGACTTGATAATGGGGGAATCTAGTGACCACAATGTTGCTCATGTGATTGTGTATTAATGATACCAAATATATATGTGTGTGTGTGTGTGTGTGTGTGTGTGTTTGTTTCAGTCTTAATGTGTTCTTTTTAAAAATAAACTTTTTACTTTAGAATAGTTTGATATACAGAAAAATCTAAAGAGAATACAGAGAATTCACACCCAGTTTCCCCTGTTGTTAAATTAACATCTGAAATTAGTATGGTCTGTATGTCACAATCAGTATGCAAATATGGATACACAATTAGTGACTAATACACACGCTTTATTTAGATGTCCTGAGTTACTGCCTGATATTCTTTCTCTCTTCCAGGATCCCATCCAGGATATGCTAATGCATTAGTTGTCACAGGTCCTTAAAACTGGGGTTAAGGGCTTTGGGAAGGAAGACCACAGGGTAAGTGCCATTTTTATCCTGGCACATCAAAGATGCCTATTACACACATGACTTGTCACTGCTGATGTCAGCTCAATCTCCCGGCTGAGGCACAGTGTTTGGCAGGCTTCTCCACTATGAAAACCCTCTTTTTTCCCCTCTTTCCACACAGTCCCCTTCGGAAGGAAAGTGCTATTTGAGGCTCCTGTCTGCAGAGTGGAGAATTGTACCCCATCTGTTTTAGGTGGGATATTTACATAATTACTATGGAGACCTCTGCATGGGGTATTTATTTCTTCTCCTTATTTATCCATTCATTTGTCTATATCCGTGCGATCCGTGGGTACTTGTCTCATCCTTCGGGCGTGATCAGATGCTTCTGCATCTTGTCACTTAGACTGTCCCGGGCTGTGCGCTCGGAGCCCCCTGCCTTGGCCCCTGACACACCCGGCCACTGTGAGTGGTGTGTGTGTGTGTGCGTTTAAGCGTGTCAGGCGTGCTGGATGTCCAGGCTCATTATGTACGTCCCCTGCCCCCATCCCAGGCTCAGCCATTTCCCCAAGGAGACCTGGTTTTTTGTATTGGCAAGTGGTACCAGAAACCAAAATTTGGGCCCTGAGTTTAATAAAATATTTTTACATCATTCTTTTACTGCCATTCTATTTCAGAAGTATTACTTTTGTTGTAAAAATTTTTTTTATAGATCCAATTTTCAAAACTCACTTTTAGTCTAAGATTTCTGCCTATATTGAATATTAAGACTTTCATTTCAAGCAAGTAATTTACACATCTTTTGTTTCTATATATCTTACTATTAAATCCAGAGTTTGAAATTTTGAGTTTTTCTACACTGCCAATTCAGTCAGGTCAGCTGACTGGTTAAGTGACCCTAAGTGCTTGTGACCTTTGACTGTTTTTTTAATTTTTAGTGAATTGACTATTTTGACATCTTGTAATTACAAAGCACCTAGAGAAAGTGGGTAAAATGGCAAATATCGTAAGGAAAGATTATGTTTTGTTCTGTAGGAATCACACAGCTAAAACCGGTTCATGGAAATCTCCAAAGGCAGACTTGCTGAACAGGTAGACCAATAGCTAGAGTTTTCATTGCAAAATGTATGAAGTGTTAGGAAAATGATAGCATTTTTAAAGTCTAATACTAGAAGAATAACATGTTTTCAAGTTTTATCATTTCTATATAAAATGTACCGATTACATTTTTTTTTTCATTTATTGGGTAAAGGTCTCTTCACAGAATTATTTTTACAGATAGGTTAGCCCTTGGGATTCCAAAGCCAGGAAACCTAGGAAAACAACTTGTCAACTGCTGAGCCCTGGGCAAGTCAGTCTAACCTACCTTCATTCCTTCTCCACTGCTAAATATAAATTGGCTCATATATGTAAAGTACTAGACATGTTCATCCACATGTACGGGTAACATATATATACATACGCACACAGAATATCTGGAGCCCACTGCCTTTATTATCTTTAGTAATATTTATTTTCTTTCTACATAAAGATACTTTCACTCTTACTCTTCTTTAGTAATAGTCAATAATTTAAACATTTTGCTAATTCAGACAGACTTCACTGTTCAGTCCAAATTACTGGAATTTTGCTGTAGTTGTGTTTCCTCCAAATCAATACTGTAATGGCAATGTTTGTACATTAATGAGTTTTTATTTTCTATATTTCTTGGTGTGTGACGTTTGCTCATTCTGCCCAAGGTATTAGTTAGGATAATATAGCTGGACTGCAAAAATAAAAAGGGTTTCAATAGTCAACTTTTAATATCCAAGGCAGGGCTTTGAGTTTGCTGCAAGAAAATGACCCTGGAATCTAGACTTTGTCAAAAGGCTCCACAATTTTCGAAGTGCTTAGTGACAGTCTGGGGAGGTTATCAAATGTCAGGAATAAACAGATTCAGGATGAGACCTGATGGAAGAACTGGCTCCGGGGGAAGATGATGGAGAAGGGCAGGGAGAGGCCAGGCTGCCTCTTTTGGCCTGAGAAGAAGACAGTGCAAGGGGGTGAGATGCACCCCCGACCACCCCCTGCAGGAGGAGCCCTAGCAGAGGCTGTTGTGCCTTAAATAGGTTAGAGACCCTCGGAGTCTCGGGTCTTGGCTTTGCGTCCTGTGCAGAACCATGGGAGGGGACCCGGGGTGGGTGGCCAGCAATGGCCCTTGGTGGAGAGAAACCGTGCAGACCGAGGGGCCTGGGCTCGTGCCTCTAGTGCGGTGAGGAGGGGACCCAGAGGTGCCTGTGTGTCCTGGCGGAGGAAGCAAAGATCCAGAAAGGCCAGGGGACTGCCAAGATCCGGGGGAGAGGCGGAGTGGCCCAGGGGCGGATGCCCACCCAGTGACCGCAGGGCCAGCGGGTCTGCGAGCTCCCAGCGGCGACAGCTCCTGAAGCCAGGCAGGAAGCCGAGCCCGGTGGGGGTCCACCTCGTTGCCATCTGAGTGCAGAACCCTCCTCAGCAGCACCCACTCCCACCCCCCCACATGGCAGCGCGGCAGGGTCCTCAGGTTGAGTAAAGAGAAAACAATTAGCATTTTCCCAAAAGAGACTGACCAAAAACTCAGCTATAGTGAATCCGTTACTTTGAAACACACTCCCTATCCTGTAGGTGAGAAACAGTAAATTAGTTAGGAGAAAAGTCATTAAATTTTTAATAAACCCAGTACAGTAGAAAAGGATTTGATCAGTGCCCTCCCTTCACCGACTGCTGTGAGGCCCCGGTGGGGCAGTTGGTGGGGAGCCCCTCTGGGGGTCGGCATGCCCAGCAGAGAGGGCTGCACGCCGGGGCGCCACGGGCGGGGGGTCGGGACCAGAGCCGCAGCAGGCGCCCCTCGGCCCCGGGCTGGGAGGGGGGCGCGCAGACAGGAGGCCAAATGCCCGCCGATTACAGGGTGTGAAGCAGAAGGAACCCGCAGTCAAGGGCACAGATTCAGCTGAGCTTTTGTGGAAGGGGGGCCCGGGGGCAGCCGAGGACCAGGCGGAGCGCAGGGCCCCAACCGGGGAGGCAGATGGGGGCCCTGCGGGGGGACCGGGCGCCGGGCCGTCGGGCGCGTCTCTCAGACCGGAGAGCCGAGGGCACGTCCCCCTGAAGTGCGGCTCCTGGACCCGAGGGGGAGCCTTGAGTCGAAACCAATAATCGCCTCGTGAGGGTAGAAATCTAAGGACCCAGACAACTGGGCGGGATCGGAGTGGCTGCTTCCCAGAGGTTCCCACCGAGGACGGGAGGCTCCGCGGGACCGCGGGGGAGAAACAGCCCCGCGGACCCGACGGGCCCAGGCCCCCGCCTTCCCTCCCCCGAGCTCCGCGCCGGGCGGGACGAGCCTCGCCGACCCTCCCGGAGGCGCGCCCGGAGCCGAGGCAGCCAGGGGGGCCTCCTGGCGGAGGGGGCGCCCCGCCCGGGGCCCGAGAACGCCGGCAGCCGCCAGGTGAGCAAGCGCGGAAGGGCTGCGGGCCGGCGGCCTCCGGGCAAGGGTCGGGCGCGGGAGGGGACCACCCGCGGGGCCGGGCCGGGGCGACCGGCCGCGTGGAGGGCGCGTGGGAGGGGCAGGAGCCCCGGGGCAGCCCGGGTGCCGGGCCCGAGCGCCCTGCAGAGCGGCCACGGGCTCAGGGCCAGCCCGGGAGACACGCGAGCGGGTGTGCGCGCGGATGCACCAGGGGCTCGGCGGGGCCCGGCGCGTGTGAGATTCCACGGCGGCCCCGGAAGCAGCCCTGGGGGAGCCGCTGGCTGTTTGGGTTTGGGGTTCTGGAACCATACCTGGGCTGCAGATGCAAATCAGAGGATTCAGGATGCCCGACTATTGAGGAACAGTGTTCAGAGCCTTCTCTTTTCTTCAGTAGAGCTGTGAAAAATGGTTTTTAGTTTTGAAATTGATACCATAAAAGTTTTTGAAACATGTTTGAAGTATGAATCAAGAATATTCCTAATATTAAATAAATATTTGGTAATTAAAAGAGAAATCAGTTTATTGATGTGAAATGTTGGGGTTTTTGGTGTGACATGTTTTCTGACAAGATGATAAGATGTGTATACTTTGACTTTATGTAATTGATCTTTTTACTCTTACAATTAAAATGCTTTGAAGTCTCTGATTTCTTCTTCTTCTTAGAGTTATTTTAAAGCATAGATCAAATTTTAGTCATTTCTTGCAGAATTCATGTGTGAGTTCATTCACTATATTTCTATTGGGATATAACAACATAAAACATTGTGTGGGTTCAAGGTGAATGTGGCATCACCTCTGCACTGTGCGCCCTCACCCAGGCCTACACGAGCACTAAAATCTTGGCACTCTTTCACTGTCAGTTAATTCGGAAACTCCTAACATGGGGCAACCTTGATGAGTGTGGCCGGGCCCTGATCCACGGTAGTGTAGTGACTCAGTAGTTAAGCAAACTTCCATGCACTAGAAATGTCTTCGACTCGAAATGTTGGTCACTGTCCTTCTCTCAACAGGACCTGGGGGTTGAAGAGCGAGCACCAAGCCCCGAGCTCTGACTGGCCGTGAGGCTGGCCTGGTGCGACCACTGTCCCCCGCCCCCGGTCTGCAGGGTCCGGCTCTCCCTAACTGCACGACACACTCTGTGTTCACTGTGTGAACTTACTGGATGCAATGGCATGCCTAGAGCTGGACGGAGAGCCGCCATATGTGAAAAGCCAGTCAACTTGCCACGTATGAGTTTCTGTGTGGTCACACTGTCACAGAACTTCCCAGGGAACTGTGATGTAAGCTAAGCATCTGAAATGTGTCCACCAGACGTCATGCGTCCACAGCCCTGTCTGCCACATGTCAGGGCTTGGCAAAGTCCCAGACGGCAGGAATTCTATTCCAAGGGTGTTTTTGTCACTTGTGAAAGGTGAGTTTGGGAAACTAAAAGTATGGAAATGGTATGAAAATCCTATTTGGAGTTTTTATATTAATTCAGATGTTAGAGAAACTTTGAAGTCGTTAAACATATAACTGGTAAGACTTAACTTCAAGATGCATCAGACATATTTATACCACTATCTAAAACCCGGGAGAATGTCCCAAAAGAGAAGAAGTGGAGTTCAGGGACATACTGGAAAGGTGGCTTAATTTTTAGAAAAGAGATATTTTGTTTTTACTTCCTTATCTTAGCTGGGGATAACTGATTTTTTTCTGACTTCAAATTATTTACTAAAAACAGAGTATTAAACAAAGATGTAGAAATCTATCAGAATACATTTGTGGAAACAGTGATAAGACAACAATTGCAAAGCTATAGTCATACAGACACACCTTCAAACTGACACAGCATTTATTGAGCTTTCCCTGGAGTGCACTGGTGCTGAGAAGAAATATATAATGGAAATAGAAGACATGGCCCATATGTGTCAACAATGTTTTTACAGTTAAAATTCACTTAAATCTGACTTCTGTGATGCATTCAATCAGGTGTATTTGTGTGTAGACAGTAATGTAAAGTGGAACTTTGAAATCACCGGTTGATTCAACGTAGACTGTCAGACCGTTTAAATAATGGTCTTGAATAAGCTTTTTTAGCCTGGATTACCCAGTGTGGAATCCAGTCAATCAAACATCTCGGCGGCCTGTATTCACTGAGGGCCCACATGTGGGTGCAGAGGGGTGTGGACTGCTGACCCCGTCGGGGCACATCGCGCCCCCAGCAGAGCCCTGATGGTGCGCGACACAGGCGCTCAGCCGTTAGGGCAGGGCTTGGAAGGGCCAGCCACACGCCAGGGCGGTGGTGCCGTGGGAGCTCAGAGGAGGGAGCGTGTCTGGGGGTGGAGGGCCCGGAAGGGATTCTGAGAGAAGTTCAGGCTTTAGACTTAAATTCATTATTTGATGGGAAATGATTCTGTAGTGAACAAGAAGCCGCCTCTTACATACTTCAAGCTCTGTATGGCTCTGTGAGGTGGTGTATGCCATGCTGCTTAATTTTTAATGATTTTAACCCCTAAATTCTTTCAGTTACCCATCAAAACCCAACAAAAAACAAAACAAAATTAGTTGCGTGACTATGTATCTCTAGATAATGTATTTATATATATTCATAGATATAAAAATGAACGGTTTTAAGAAAACAAAAGACCCCGTAATTGAATAAGAAATTTTATAACTTCTAATGATAAAGCTACAACTTAAATCTGAGGGGGAAAATGTGCCCAGATTGCCCTACAAGAGTACATTCATTTATTGTCAGTCAGGTTTTCTTAAATTCTTACTTATGATTATATGAACCAGAATTACTATTCTTCATACAAACAATATAGCCTCACTTTTCGATTTTCAAAAGGAGTTTTCTTTTTTCTAACCCAAAAAGACCCAAATAGATCAGATTTTTCCCAGTTCTATCCAAGTGTTAATTTCTGACCAAGGATTCTGTCATAAAGGCTGAATTTGGGGGAGACTTAGCCTCAGGGTAAAAAAAGAAGCTGTATAAAGGAAATGATAGTGTAATTTTGAGAACAGTATTTATAGCTGTGGGTACTAATTTATTCTTTTAAACTGTCTCTATTTTGAATTGGTCTAAAATAGACCAACCCCACTAAATGCGTGTGGATGACTGTTGCGCTGTGACGTGTGCGCAGACGTGGCGCGTGTGGGGTAAGTGCCCAGAGCCCAGAGTCTGGCTTGCCTGGGTTCACATCCCGGACCTGCTGCATTCTTGCTGCAGTACCTTGGGGGCGTTGCTGAAACTCCGTCATTTTCTCAATTGTAAAACTGGAATAATAACCGTATGTGCCTCAGAGAGTAAGCTGGTGTGTGGGAAACACAGACAGTCGTGCCCAGCAAAGGGCGAGCCCCGTCACCGTTAGAATCGTGCCGTTGAAAGCGTGGCACTGCAGCGGGGCATTTCCTGACTTCTCCGTCTAAATCATTTTTTCCTTCCTCTCCCCCTTTCTCCCCTCCATCTCCCACGCTGTCTTCCGCTCCCATTTTCCACCTCCTAGCTCGTGTCTTCACGAACATGCCCCCAGCTGCTGAGTGAATGACCGGGACTCCAGTCTCAAGCCCTGCGGACTGTCGCTGGCCCTGACCCCCTCCTGCCGTGGGGACCGGGCCGCCTGTCCTGCTCCCACAGCCGTTAAGAATTCCCAGTCACCAGCGCGCACTGGAGGGCGGTTGAGTTGGACATGACTCCTTCTCATTTCCCTTCGGGTTTCTTTGAATTCACAGATCTTGTTTCTTATTTAGGAATCACTCCGAACCCGAATCTGTGACTTCCTGAGAGCAGACCCTCTGGTCCTCACCCCTAGGGCTCAGCACAGGGCAGGCTTGCCCAGTGACTGACCCATTGGGTGAGCACGTGGAGGGAGGGGGGGACTCGCCTCAGCTCCTAGCGGGGACCGGACGGCCTCCCATCTCTAGGTGGCCTCTTGGGGCTGTGAGCACAGGCCCAGGGGCCCTCTGAAGAGCGGCCTGACCCTGGGAAGGGGCCACGGAGGGCTCTGCCGGGCATCTGACCGCAGAATGGATGCTGAGGCTGGGACTCACTGTATCAACAATGAGGAAACTTAACCCTAAAAAAGGTCCAATCAGCCCAGGGCCTCCAGTAAATCAGAGAAACACTGGCGCACACTCTAGATCCCCTGGCTTGATGTCTATACTTGCTCAAGTGCCAAGAATTTTCCCGGATGATCTGCGTGTCCCATTGAAAGCTTAGGAGTAACTAGTGGGTGGATGAGAGAAACAGGATGAATAATGTCCTCGATTTTTTATT